AGAGTACGAGACACTAATTATTTCTCTGCTGTTCTCAGTTTGTTTCCAACGTGCTTTCTGGCTTCACGTGTACGAATTCAACGTGAGCACAATTTCAACGCACCGCAGTCACCACCTCACCACCAACGACAAACACTCCTGAGGATGGCCAAGAAGAAATTTCATTAAGATGCAATCAAAGTAACCGAAGAGAAAGCTCAACTACGTAATAATCTATCACAGGCATGATGTTGTTCAATTAAAGTGGCAGTAAATGAATCACGCAGATGCTCACCAAAAAGAACCAATTCTAAATATTTACTCAGCATTCAAGTCTGGTAAGCATCATCTAACTGACAATAATAAGAAACAGGAGAAGTGGTCTAGGGCCTCGAGAAGCCGAAAGGAGAGAGTCAGGAGAGGTCCTGGAGGCTGCGGCGGAGTCAGACCATCCCCGGGCTTTGGCAGCGTCACCAAGGGCAGCTTTGCAGGCACACAAACTGGCCTTCCTGAGAGCTGAACAGGTTTGCCACGATTGACTCTTAACAAAGTTACAAGAAATTATACAGAAGCTATCTCTACGGGTTTTTTCCTGCAGTCTCACAAAGGACAGCTTTGGTAACCCTCTTTATAAATCTACACTTCACTTAATTCTTTACGAATCACTTGCTTTACTAATCTATATGCCGGAAGCCGTTCAAGGTGCCGAGAATACAACAGTGAAAAAGGCAAGCTCTGTACGTTTGTTTTTAGGGAGATTATGACCTAGTTGCATCTACAGACAAGTTAATAGATGACGTTAACGGTGTGACGTTTGTTAATATGGCAGAAAATACAGGTTGTTACAAGGACACATACATTTCCAGAAGTTCCTCATTTATTTCTTTCACGAAAAGACCTAGTTACCTCATCACCACCACAACCATCATCACCATAACCCTCCGTCATCATTCAGCAGCCGCGGTTGGTTTTCTGCACCCATGCTATACTCTCAGTCCTACGTTAGGTGCTACATATTACATCATCTTTAATTTTTAGTACAACTCTGCAAAATAGGTAAAAGTATATTTTTGAAAAAAAGGAAAAACCAACAGTATCAGCTGTGATAGGCAGATGTCAACTCATACCTGGCCGGGTACTAACACCCAGGCCACAGTCTTTCCTACTGAACATGAAAGATTTCACAGCACTCCAATACCAGGTCAGATACCTCTGTAATCATGCCCGAGCACAGACAAAAACACGAGCATTGTGCAAACACAGATGAGTCCCATGCAAGCAGCCCCACGGAGAAGTCCACGTGGAGAGAACGGTGGCTTCATGCCTTCAGGAGCAACAGCCAGCCACTATGGGCGTGAGAGAGAGAGTGTGGCAGATCCTCCAGCCTCCATCGAGCCTTAACCGCCGCTGCCTCAGCCAACATCTTGTCAGTGACCTCATGAGACCCCAAAACAGATCCACTCAGCCAATCCGCCCCTAAATTCCTAACCCACAGAAACGGTATGAGATCGTGCAGTTTCAAGTCATTTGTTATGAGCAATAGATAATATGTAACATTAACATAACCATATATCAATGATTATGTTTCCAGTTAGAAGAATTATAAGGTAGGGCATAGAATTAAATACTAATACTGTATGTTCCTTTAATTCTTAAAGTATATTTTCTTTTCATTCTTTGAACATATTTACAATTGCCACTTAAATCAAACATCTGAGCCTAGTCAGGATCAGCTCCTATTAACTCATGTTTTTCCCCCCTGGGTCATACTTTGCTTTAATTGTTTGACCATAACTACTTAAACCCAGCATCAGGGCTCATTTGGAATCAGTTTCCTGTCTAGGAGTCACGCTTACCTGTTTCTTTGCACACCTTGTTTTTAAACTACTAGTAATTAAAATACAAACAGATGGGGATCATTTCTTGTAGCGCATCTATTTTGTTTCACTAAAGATTTTGTTATTGTTCTACTAAGAAATTAACTTGCCTGGACTTAAAGTGAAATCGATCTCCTGTTTAGAGTGCAGCAGTGAAGTCTCCACTCAGTGGCTGAGGTACCAGCCTGCCCCCTGATGGTATCCCTGAACTTGTATAGTTTAGCAGATTTGGATAAATGTTATAGTCAGATTGTGGGGCTCACCCTCACTGTTATTACCTTTGTTTCCAAGGCTCCCCAGCCTCAATTTCCACTTGCTCTGCCTAAATACATTCTGAATTCTGCCCTTAGATACATGAATTCAATCAAGCTTCTGATATTTGCCACCCATGCGATGTGCACTTGGGGAACACACTCTGTCAGAGGTGCCCCAAATTTGCAAATGTCGCCAAGAGCTCTTTCAAAGGTTCACCATGCCCCTAGTTTTACCTCTGTTTTTGACTCTCTGGAACCTCCCATGCATGTATAGGTTAGAGGTCATCCAGGAATGTAGGCAGATATTATACTCAGATTTTAGTGGCTCTCATGCTTCCAGAATGTACCTCTTAAATTTCTATCTGCTGTGATTTCTGAACTTCGTCATCACCACCTTGAGCTGGTAGGGATGTAGTTTTCCACGGACAGATCTAGGTTGTTTGCAGGAAACCCAGAAAAAAGGCCATTAACTCCCAATTCCTACTCAATCAGTAGAATCTTTCTACAGTAAATTCTTCTTATCCACCTTTGGTCATCTTCCAGAGCCTTCTAGTAATTTTTTTTTTAATAATCTTGCCAGTGTTTATCATTGCTATCTGCTTAAGACATTACCTCACCTCTTGAAGAGGTCATTACCTGAAGTTTCCCTGGACCATTTTATTAGTCTCCTATCATGTCTTCCTCTTTCCATCCTCACCTTCCGATAGCCTCTTCACACATTCTACCAGACTCATCCCTTTGAAACATCCATCACATACCGCCTCCACACAAAATCCTGGGCACTCTCCATGTCACTCAGTAAAAACCAAGCCCTCGGCATCATCTACAAGCACTATGCGAAGCTGCCCCAGGCCACCTCTCAAACCTTACCTCTTACCATCTCTTACAGTCTCGTCTGGACCTTTCCAGTGCGCTTCCAACCCCACCCAGCACGCTCCAGCTTGGGCACCTCCCCTTCACTCAGACAGACACTGTCTCCCCTCGGCTGGCTGCATGACTGCCTCCCTCACTTTCTTCAATCTGTTTGAATTCTGTTGTTGGAAAACACTTCCCTCATCACCCCACCTAAAACAGCATTTCCTTCCTAGTCATCACACTCACCGTGTTTACTGCCCCCTGATATCGTTCACTTACATATCTGTATACACACACTTCACTATGCATCTACCCTCACTGAAACATAAACTCCATGGGGGCAGAGATTTTGTCGTGCGCAATATCATAACTGTAGAGCCTAGGAAAAGAGTCTGGTACATAGAAGGTTCTCAGAAAACGAATGAATGGGTTATGTGTGCTATTTGTTAGGCATTATTCTTCACCTTTCCACATTACTAACTCATGTAACTTTCATAGTGCCCATCAAAGTCGATACTATGATCATCTCTGTTTTATAGATGAGGAACTGGAGCACAAAGAGTTGAAGCCCAAGTTAACAAAGCTAATAAGCATGGAATCAGGACTTGAACCCAGGCCATCTGCACTGCATTAGTTTGCTGGGGATGCCATAACAAAACAGCATGGGCACGGTGGCTTGTTAACAACAGAAATTTATTTTCTCACAATTCTGGGGAACTGGAAATCTCAGATGAAGGTGCCAGCAGAGCTGGTTCCTGGTGAAACCCCCATATTTGACTTGTGGGTGGCTACCTTCAACTGTCCTCACATGGTTTTCCTCAGTGTCTTTTCCTCTTCCTATTAAATTGGGGCTCTACCCTTATGATCTGTTTAACCTTAATTACCTCCTTAAAGGCCTTACCTCCAAATACAGTCACATTGGGAGTATGACTTCAAGTTATGAACTTTGGGGGAACATAATCCAATCCATAACACACATAATGTGTGCCTTTGAAATATAGGTATTTTCAATATCTTGCCTTTTTATTTCAGACAATTAAGATTATTTTCTCCAGTCCTTTATAGATGAATAGAGAAGAGGCTTTCAGAACCTTGACCAAGTTCCCCCTGGTCATTTTACTGAAATGGCTGCACTAAGGATTTCCAAAAAACAACTTTGTCTCATAAAACACCAAAATGATTGTGCCAAACATCTGTTAGTGTACTTTCACACACTGTGCATGAACTCAGTACAGCTCTGGGAATTGTGTTTATTTGTAACTCCTCCTATAGAACCAACAGAAAGCCATACTTCTTTTGAGTCTCTGATGGAAATCCATTCCAGGCTCCCGCTGCTCCTTAAACACACTGTGCAGGCTCCCACCTCAGGCCTTTGCACTCCCTGCTCTCCTTATCTCAAATGCTCCCCCTCCAGATAGCTTCATGACTCATTTTCTCCTGAGGTTTTTTTTTTCCCAGTCATCTATCTACATGAAGTCTTGTTGGAACAGCGTATTTAAAATTGCAAACATACTTTCTCCTACACTTCCCCTGTCTATTCCTCCCTTTTCTATTTGATTTTTCTCTGTAGCACTTTTAAAAAAATTGTCTACCTCTTCTCTCCAGAATGCAAGCAAAATAAAGGACGGCATTTTTGCTTGTTTTATTTACTGCTCTTTTCCTAGCTCTTGGAAGAGAGCTAGCGCATAGTAGACACTCAGTAAACATTAGCTGAATGAATGAATTTCGTCAAGGTTACACAGCTAGTTGTGATGGAACTGGAATTCGTATCCTATCTTACTCTAAAATATAACAACTGCTTAATTATACTGTACATAGCAGCTATGTAATGTAAGCCTTAGTAAGACACAAATCCTGCCAAAGAGCAAAAAAAATGCTCATCCTTGATACAAACAATAGGCCTCGTATTGGAGGCCTGAAATCCCTCCGTGGCTCACTGCCGCCTGGCGCCCTGTCACGCTCCTGAACACCGAGGCGAAAGCAGCTTCTCTACGCAACCGCTGTCATAATTGACTTATTTTCTCCTGGCCATTACCCTCATTTGAAGTCATCATGACGTATTTCGTTAAGTGTTACGTATCTTCTGCCGTGTTCCACATGTGATCTGTAAGCGCAGTTCCCCTTGTTTCCCTCCGGTCATACAAACACTGGTGAATTATTAATTAAAGAAACGCCCCTGCTCTGCTTCTTACTCTCTTAAACTGTAGAAATACACAAGCACCCAAGGACCCAAGAGAGACGCGGAAAGGCCGTTCCCTGCCTCGGCACCGGCGCCGGCCTCTGCCCGCCCCGCCCCGTCGCGCACCTGCTTCCGCCCCGCTTCCGCCCCATCTGTGCCTCGGAGACGCTTCTCCGGGGAGAAGATCCGCCCACCAGCCCCACCCCAGCCCCGGCCCCGCCCACCCGCCGTTCACCTGATCCTCTCTTGGTTTCCAGCAGGAGGCGCCCATCAGACGGCGGCGCCTCCGCCTCCGACGCGGACCGCTTCAGCGTCGCCAGCACCACGTCTGGGGGCAAGTCGACCAGTTGCTCCCACACGGACTCTGTGTAGAAGTCCACCGTATGTGCATTGGAAATGGACAGGGCTTCCCTCAGGAACCGCAGCAGCCCCTGCAGCGTGGCACGCAACGTGGACAGGTCCTGGGTCACTGGGAGTGGGCCGGAAGCCGCCATGACGCTCACCCTCCCAGGCTGTAGGTGGCGCAAATGCGGCCGCAAAGCGCGGACTTGGTCGCAAGTAGCATAGGCCGAATAAGTAGAACCCCGAGCTGAATGTCAGTAGGGTGTTTGATTGCTTCTACGAGATGACGTACTTTGGCCGCGTCCGTCGTGATGTTTTAGCGACGCAGTTGGTCGGACATGGCGCCGGTGAGGCCGGCAACGAGGTGGCCCCCGATGGGGAGTTCGCGGACGAGCGGTGAAAGGGTTTCTTCGGTCGGATTCAGGAATAAGAATGTGAAGCAGAGGACGTGGCGACTTAACCATCCGCAGGCCTTCGTGGGGAGCGTCCGCGAAGGTATGTAAGAAGACAGCCTCTAACAAGTACTCAAGCATGCGAAATTCTTCGGATACGCGGCTTGCCCCAGCGGGGAAGGAGTTAGGGACCCGACAGGCTCTACTCGGAACTGAGGAAACTGTTCCTAAGCCCGCAGGATTCTCAGAGCTGTGGATGGGAAGACGAGGTAGGGTTGCCGGCTAAATCTTTAAATACCGTCCCGGATTTAGCCCCATTCTTGATCAGAGCCCTTCTTACATTTTTTCCGAGAAACCGTAAGGACCGTTTGTGCTGTATTGCACTAAAGGGTGGAGAGCAGGACGGGGCTGGAAATAAACTGCCCCAGTCCCTTTCTGATGACAAATACCCCAGAAGCTGATCTTGCTCTTCTCTTTAGTTTTCTATTTTTGTCTTGCTGTCTTTTAAGTTCCCTCACTTCCCATTTGGAATGTATAAAATTTAAGTTCAGTCATCTGATAATTTCTAGGTGTTGAGAAAGTCGTACACCATCTCTCTTTTGAGCAGAATTACTTTCGAAAGTTAGTCCTATTCACTAAGGTAGAGTAATAGATGCGAGGGTGATTTTCTTCTGTACGTACTGAAGACCTAGAGTGAGTGTTTTAGACGAATTAAGCAATTGGTTTTGATATGTGAATACAATAAATTGGTGTTGCGCAACACTGCATTTTTCCTTCTTTAAGATTCTTATTTGAGTGCTTGCAGGACAAAGGTTAGCCTGGTCATTTTGCAGAAGACTTACATGCTGTTGATTACGTTAGATTAAACTTGTTTCCTTGAACCTTTAAAAGTAAAACATAAGGTAGTTCTAGCTTCTGGATACGGTGATAGAAAAAGTTTTTCATTTTAAATTAACCAGCTACATTTATTGTGCAATTTTATGAGAAAGTAATTTATGACTGTTATTCTTCACTAGGACAAGGCTTTGCGTTTCAAAGAAAACTAAAGATTCAGCACAATTACAGGAAATTGCAGTGGAGAGGAAAGAAGGCTCAAACCTCACAAGAGTCACAGTTCACGGATCACTACCCTGATCATCTGAAGCATCTCTATTTAGCTGAAGAGGAAAGACTCAGGAAGCAACCTCGGAAAGTTCACCAGCCTTTGCTAGAAGAGCAATGTAGTGTTGTCCAGGCTTTGTGTGAAGAACACTGTAGTGTTGAGCAGCCTCAGTCAGAAGAACAGTGTAGCACAAAAGAAAAGTATGTATTATCTATCATCTTTTGAAATCTTTTATTTTAGGTGTAAGTAGTGTTTTATGAAAAAGATTATAGGACAGTTTATGTAGGAATTTTAAACTTTCTTACTTGAAGCGTTTTAGAAGTTCACAGTGTAATCGTGTGAAAATATTTTCATGGAGGCTTTCTTTTTATCTTACATGAGTGAATTAGGCTAGTTGAGCTTAATGGAAGAAGTAATGGAATAGGAATTAGGAGATCTAGGTTTTGCTTTCAGCCTCCCAAGTACATTTAACTTGGACCGTGATTAACTCCTGTTACTAATATATATATATATATATATGCTTTAGAAACATTAATATATGTTTAAATAACTAATTTTTGAGAGATATTATCATGGACTCCAGAGCTGGACTTAACATGTTGGTGCCCAATGTCCTGTTCTCTACAGTGAAAATAATGATAGTAAGTATGTGATTCAGAGCTGCCATGTTACACAACTCCATGTAAACTCTATGGTACTACCGACCTATCTTGTGATGTTATGAAGACTGAATGAGTTCATTTATCATTTACATGAGGTACTTAAAAAGATGTATGGTACATAGGAAATGGTACATGAATGTTACCTAGTACTACTACTATTATTAATACTATTAACAGAATTTTTTCCATAGGACATAGACTGGTTTGCAATTAAAAAGCAAATGACACATCTCCATAAAACTTCAGTTTTATAAAAGCAAACTTACAAAGCATTCTCTGCACATACTTCAATTAAAAAAAAACTGTACTTAAATCTAAACTTGCAGAGCAGCTAGTTGTTACATAAGATAACTTTTTGTTTCACTGAAATTCTGTACTTCAAAGTTGTGAACTATTTGTGGTAAAAGTAACGGGAAATAAGACCCTAGAAAAAAGTGTATTCAGGAGTAAAGACAGAGACACTGAAAATTCAGTGTTTGGTACACTTGTCCATCATATCATTGAATAACGGCTATAAATCTCTGGCAAGTGAGTAGCAATAGGAGTGTAGATTTGAGGCATTCCTAGTAATAAGACAAGTGAAGAGTGTTAGATCTTGAGACAAGACACAAAGGTAAAAATAATATTCCTAAAGATTACTTCTTTTGAGGTAAAAGCAGGAAAAAGTTGCTTTAGAAGTTAAATAGAATTGTCAAAAATTGGAGAGGGGGATCCAGTGACAGCCAAGCAGCAGAGGAAAGTTGTGCGAAGTAGGGATTGGTCAACTGTCAAATACTATGAAGCCCAAGTTAAACAGGACCAAGAACAGGTTTATGGATTCGTGACTTGTGATCTGGGCAATCATTGGTGACTTTGAGAGATTTTCAGTAGATCATCCTGGTTAAGTCTCTGGTCTTACATACATGTGGCATCTGAAGTCATGGGCATGGACATGACTGCCCAGATACAGAGACCAAGAAAAGAAAAACACTTGGGGAAAAACCAGGAGCAAGGAAGAAAAAGAGCTCTAGGGGAGGAGAATGTCACCGAGACTAAGGAAGTGGCATTTTCAGAAGCAGTGAATGGTCAGTTAAATGAGACTGAATATTCAGTACCCGTTGACTGGATGACCCTGTTTGGCTAGAATGTCCGCACTGTCTAGGCTTGGGCAGTTTCACTGGAGAGGTGAGAGCGAGTCAGACTGAGGAGAGGCAAGGAGTGCACTGGCAGTGACCATCGCTGTCTCTCTGCTGTTCCTTCTGGGTGTCTGACTGAAAAGACAGGGAGTGAGAGACAAGTAATAGAGAGATGTAGAGTGTTGATGAGTAATTTGCATATTTGATTACTTTAAGAAGGGAGCTGCTAAAGTTAAATTGGACTTGGAGTTGGTGTAGAGAAAAGTTGAGTGACTGGGAGAAGGGAGATTATTACAGAATCAGATACCCTGAGGAAATGGATGGAATCTGGGCCTGGGTGATTGAGAATTAGCTTAGGCAAGAGTGAGAAGTACTTCAAGATAGAACAGTTCTAAATAGGGGCTAGTCCCTTAGGTGTGGTCCTTCAGAACTAAGCAGATGAACTGGAATAGAGATGAACTGGTCAGGGAACTGTAGGATTAAATTTCAGATATACCCACAACCCCCACATCTCCTTCAACTTAATGCCCTTTTCAGTCTCATTTCTACCATTCATACACCAGTTTCCTGTATTTTGTTCTGACTTACTTTTATATACATATGTATATATTAGAATCTTGTCAAAACTTTCTGCATTTTCCCTGCTTGAAATATGCTCTAATGGTCTTTTGGAGAAATAACATTCAACCACTTTTTAATTATGTTTTGAAAGTTATATATTTAGTATGTTATTTGGACATTTTACTAATGAGATTTCTGTCTTCTTTCAACCTCCCTTCCCCCCTGTATTTGCATTAGTGAGATTTTACTATGAAGTGCTATATTTGACATAATTGTGTAATGGTTTTTGGTTATGTCATTTTTCATCCTTGTGATTTTTTTTTTGTCTTTGTCTTATTAAGCTCCATTACTGTTCCAAAGAAAAAGAAAAAGAAAACATCGAATCAAAAAGCACAGGAAGAATATGAACAGATACAAGCTAAGCGTGCTGCTAAGAAACAAGTAAGGTTTACTTTTAAAATAACTGAGATCATTTTCTCTTAATTTTCTTGTATGTGTATGTAAGCTATGCTTCTTAGTATGGGGCACATAGTACGTCCTCTATGAATATTGTTGAATAAGTGAATGGTCTGAGCAGAGCTGGAAAATTTCAAAATGTCCAGATTCCTGGAGAGGTGATATTGGTAGTTCAGGAGTAAGATTTTAAAGATACTGCTCTTAGATTAATAATACGAGCACCTGGGACAATGTTTACAAAAGTATGGACCAAGAACTTACACTTTTAGCAAATGTCTCAATAAAATTCTTATGTATAATAAAATTTGAGAACTGACATAAGAAAAATATAAACGATTTTAGGAATTTTACATTGAAGCAAGTAAAGCCAGAAAAAGGTGTTAGAATAAAATATTTCTTTATTCTCTCAAGAGTAGGTCTTGCCTATTAAAAAACCTGTTAGATTAATTTAGCATAAAGTTACACTATTATTCAGAAATCCAAAATTATAATAGCTATTTTCAATGAGTTAGAACAAAATTATACACAGCTTCAACAAAATTATTTTGTTTAATCTGTGGTTAGTTCTTATTTTGTGTATGGAAGCTGTATTAATCTATTACTTTAAATAAAGGATAGCACATCAATCAGTCAAAAATACCCCAGAGATGTCACTGACATATTTCTTTCATGGTTTAGCTTTAGAATTTGTATAATTAAGAAATCTGGAAGTTTACCTTCTGAAATCCTTACAATTATTCTTCAACTGATGGCAGACTGGGATGAAGCAGTCGCGTTTCTCCACGGACATACTGGACCTTTGTTTCAGAGCTTGTTTTTTTCTCTAATCAACCATCTGATATCTGCCACTGTTGGAAGCGGTGTGCTCTCATTTTATTTGTATACAAATAATTAAATGTTAACATAAAGGCAAAGAGGATGCACTATTTCAGTTAAGGATAACACCTTACATTTTACAAAATATAAGACAAACCTAGAGTGTTTGCAGGATGACAGCTATTTCAACACAATTACTGAAGTACATCTACTGTTTGTTACTAATGAAGGTTACATATGTCGATTATTTCAGGAATTTGAGAAGAGAAAACAAGAGAGAGAAGAAGCCCAAAGGCTCTACAAAAAGAAGAAAATGGAAGTTTTCAAAATATTGAGTAAAAAGACTAAAAAGGGCCAACCAAACTTGAATTTACAAATGGAGTATCTTCTTAAAAAAATACAAGAAAAAAATTAAATCAGACATGTCTTTAATCATCGGTTAAAATAGCTGCTGTCTGTTGAGTAATTTTGTATATGTACTATACCTTCTAACAATTAACTAAACTTGTCAACACAAACATGTTGCTAAGTTATACTGCATATAAAATGTCCAAATATTTTTGTTCTTGTAAAAGAAAATTTTCTACATAAGTTCTACATAATATGATTTGTGTTTTATTTGCCTCAAGGATAGTTGGCCTAAAAAACTGAAAGAACCTTCAATTGGAATGACAGGTTTAAGTATCTAATACTTTTGTACCATATGAAATTCAGATGAAATAAAATATTTTTAAAAGAACACAGCTTTCAATGAATCATTTCAATGAAATGTTTAAATTTAGTAATCAATTATTATGTTATTAAAATTCATTTTAATGATGAAGGAGATTGACTCCCCTTTTATTTTAAATTCAGCACATGCTCTAGAGGGATAGGCTTTCTAGGAATTTGAGAGCAGCTACCAGGTAGCTGGAACTGCCTTCTGCCCCCACCAGATTACAGTGTGGTCTTTATAAAGTAGAGTTTGGTGTAAGAATTCAGAGTCTGATACTTAAGATCATTCCTGTAAGTGGAAGTACATGCTTGTTAGTGTAAGATCTTGTGAATGATAATGGAAACCCAGCAGTGTCACAGGAAGAATCAAGCTTTCCAGACCCTGTGCATCCCACTGTGCAAACATCATCACCGGGCACCAGTGGGGTCTCTGTTGGTACCTCTGTGAGCCCTGGGGAAGTGCTGGAATATGGCTGCTCTCCTGTTCACTTGCGTCTCAGCCAAGGAGAAAGGCTTGACTCCTTATAAACAAAAAGAACTATAGTATTTGTAAAGCACTGTGTAAGAGTTATATAATGGTAATGATGTGGCCTGATTTAGGGAGCCTTTTGCACTGAACTGATCATTGAACTTAAAAGTCTGATAAGCAATGCTGAGGAAGCGCAACTTAATAAAGAAAAGGACTTTATTGCATAGAAAAATAGTGCTAAGAAATTTGCAATACATTTTTAAATTGCGTTAAAACAACCAACTCAGTCTAAATTTGGCTCTGTTGGTGAAGGCAGTACATTGTGAAGCAGAGTAAATTATTTCAGTTAATTGCTTTATGATTTCACATGTTTTTCTTTAGAGACTGTCAGGATAGGAGAAAACATGGAAAGAGATCTACTTTCCATGGGAAGAGGATTAACTACTGATGTATGAATAAGCAGTAAAGTTCATATTAACTTGTGGAACAGCTGCTATATATGTGAGGTCCATGTTAAGAAATTACTCTTTAAAAAAAAAATAATTTCTTCCAAGGAACTTAAAGGGCAGTAGACACCAAATAACATAGGACAAGAAGCGGTCAGTGATCAGGTACACGCAGAAGGCTCAGACTATTGCACCAGAGACCCTCCCGCAGAGCTGCTTTCAGTGCACATTCAGGGCGCTGCCCTGAGTTTTGAACAGGATTGATGGGTTCAATAGCAACCCATTTCAACAAGCATCCCCTGTGGTTGTGTTGGGATCCTCAGACCACATTCTACAAAGTGGTGGACCAAGGCCTCAGTCTTCAGAGGTTTCATCTGGTTGAAGACATCAGGGAAAGTTTCATGGATGAGATGGCACGTGAGAAAATCCGTAAAGGTTGAGAAGAAAATTACAAAAAGAAGAAAGTTGGGAATGTATTTAAAAGTTTATGTTAAAGTCTTAAGCATAGTTAAAAAGATAGGTGATCATTACTGAGGGGGCTATCACTTCCTATCCATGGCAATGTTTCCTTCCACGTGGAGGGGCGCCCTCAGCCCGCACCCTCGGGCTCCTTACTGTTTGTGCGTGTTCCCCTCAGGGAGGTTGTGACTTACCTACATAAGTTTGGGAGAGGACCTTCCCAGTCTCCACAGTGTGTGGAGGCTTAATTACTGTTCTTACACTGAAAACTAAAGAAAAGGCTGTATGTGAAGGGTGGGAGAGGGATAGGAATGGAGGCAGAGCAGGGGAAAGACGGGGAATGTAATGGCTCAGACTCCAAATTGGGCTTACATGAGTCAGTACATTGAGAAGTAAATAAAATTTGATGGGACATAATACACAGTGGAGAAGTTTTGGGTGGCCAGAGCTTGTGGTTTCAGACCTAGACTTCAATGTGCACATGGGGAGTTTTGATCTTGGCAGTTTGTAGAAGCTTATACCAGACCATTAATTGCGTTTTTATAAACGTACAGTAGGCTTTTAATTGCTGCGGTTTGGGCAAGATGCTTTAAGCCTTAAGGGATGCCAGATTTTGACGTGAAGTTTACAGTAGCTTTGTCAATAGAAAGTTGTTTTTTTTCTACAGAGGCAGGGTGCAGTATTGGGCCGTTAGTAAAAGTACACAGGCCTCAACAAACCAGCAGAATGGCAGGTGAGAGTGGTGGAGGGCTTCAGCAAAGGTACAGAATGCATGCCGGGCCTCCTTGATGGCCTCTGCTGATGCCGGCCAAGGTCACGCAGCAGGAATATCATCGTAGCAGGTACTGCTTTGCCTCTTTGTCCCTTGTCTTGGTGATAGAAGCATACTTTTTAGGCTTTTAAGACCCACCAGCACCTGCCAAACTGGGTGAACCTTCTGCCAATATGGTCTTTGCTTCTCATTACCTGTGGTTTACCCCTGCTGTGCAATCTTTGTTATGTTTAGGCAATACTCAAAAAACCCTTTTTATCTCCTTATTTACATACCACCAGTTAATATAACTCAGACATACTCCTGGAACTTGATTCCCTCTTAACATGGCTGTAGCAATAATTCAGGAATGCACGCCCCAATGTGATCTCAGACACCCTTTTGGTCAATCTTATTCTTTTAATTGAGTTATAATTGACATACAACATTATATTCATTTCAGGTGTATAACATCATGATTCAATATTTGTGTATATTGTGAAATGATCAACACAGTAAGTCTAGTTAACATCCATCACCATACATAGCTACAGAATTTTTTTCTTGTGATAAGAATTTCTAAGATTTACTCTCAGTAACTTTCAAATATGTAACATGGCATTACCTATAGTTATCATGCTGCACATTGCATCCCCATGACTAACATTATAACTGAAAGTTTGTACCTTTCAACTCCATCCATTTTAACTCCATCCACTTCCCCACACTTGATAATTAATATAGTATAGATGGATTTTATTTTTAAAATGACAAAGACATCTTATTGTGTCTTCTGAAATGTAACCATTAAAGCAGCTCTATTACATAGTATTTGATCTTCCCAGAGCAGAATTAATACCTCAGACTGAAGCCTATTGTGGCAAAAGACCAAAGACAGTAGATAGGCTTTAAGAATTGTTCATGGTTTGAAAATGTTATGAACCCTAAAGGACTTATGACTTCAGTTGTTTTGACTAATAGTGGGAAACATAACAATGACTTAGTGGACACTATTCAAAACTCACAAGGAAACAATGGTTACTAAGGGAGAAGCACATAGTCAGACAAAGCCAGCAACATTCCCCTGCAGTGCTACGTGCTAAATGAGCAGTCTCTGCCATCCCTACCATATGAGATTCTTAGTTGATTGTTTCTCTTCTTCAAACATTCAGGTGGATAGTTGTCTCAATTTAAGCTGGCCATGGTTGATGGACAGCAATTAGGCAGCCTTCTGAAAGACAGAATTGGCCATCGCAGGGATAGGGGCCAGAAGTCTGAAGTCAAAATGTCAGAAGGGCCATGCTTTTCTAGGGAAAGAGATGTTCCAAGTGTCTTTTCCTGCTCTGGTAATTCCGTGGTTTATGGCAGCGTAACGCCAGTCCACACGGTGCCCTCCCTGTGTGCATCTTTCTGAGCCCAAAATTCCTGTTTCAAAATTCCTTTTATTATATTGTATTATATGTTGTATTAGGACTCATCTTTAATTATCTCATTTTAACTTGATTACCTCTGCAAAGCTCTATCTCCAAATGAGGTCACATGCTGAGGTCCTGGAGATTAGGACTCCAATATATCTTTTTTAGGGAACACAGTTCAACCCATTCCACATACCAACATGAAAGTGCTTTACCACAATTACTGGAACATTCCTAGTCCTTAAATGGGCTCATGTGTCACAGTGCAAACTACCAACCCAAATCAGTGGATGTTCGCTCACTCATAGGAGACCTTAAACTGAGGCTAAAATAAATCTCCTTGTTGGAAGATTGAAGACTGTCCAAGAACTCCAAACCAAGGAAATGACAATGGATATCTAGTTCAAGCCTGAGATTGACAAAACGAGACATTCCAGAATGAATTTTTTTAAAAATAAAATTCTTTCTTTTTTTGTAACTACTGTTCTGGTATTTAGTCCTTTATTGCAAATATCATGATATTATTTTCTATCAGCATAGTTGACTTCAATCATATTCAGTTCTTAGTATATTCAGAAACACAAGGTTACAGTAACCCATGCATTTGTAATGGCATACGTGTAAAAATGGTTTGGTATATGGGAACTTCTATTTTCATACAGGGAACACCTCCATGCTACCAGTCCCTTGTAATTCCCGTTATTATGCACAGGCGTGTGTGATTGCTTTGGTCCCCAGTAACCATAGTTCACGTGAGGTTTGTGAAACCCTTCCTGTAGTTCTGAGGTCCAGTTTACCTGATCAAAAACCACACAGGTCATGGGGTCTGAGTGGACACAGGCTTTAAAATTGATAACTCAGTTTCAGTGGCTGGAAACTATTGAGAATGGGCATCACAAACACATGCCACTTTCGGTAATGTTCAAGGGATGAAAAATAATATAAAAATGATAGGAGGGAATAACCTGAAAGGACATTAGTGCCAGTTTCTAAAGGGCTGACTTTTTAGTAACTTCTTTCTCCCTATATTTGGTTTGTGGAACTAGAGCTTATTGGGTGTTCCCTGCTAACTCATTAGTCTTAGTAAGTTCACCTTCCTATTGTCAAGCTTTGCATATTGTACAGAATCTATTAGATATGGCAAAGCAATATTTCATCCATCAAGAAAAGTTCATCACTGGTTGGAAGGATTCACTCATTTACTTCTACCTGTGGTTGTCTTTACATTAATATTGTACGGTTATATAGGTTTCAGAAAATTGTTATGTCAGTGAACCAGCTCTATAGTTGAATCTCTGATGTATACAGTGACACTCAAATGATGATTCTGTGCAAGAGTAGACTAAACGCCCTATGGTCAACTTTCTCCTACGGGATAGAGGTGAGGTGGGGCAGGGACATGGGACAAGCATCATAATTAACTTTTTCTGTCTGTGATGAAAAATGCTGAGATATAAATAGTCTAGTTAAGAACAGCAGGGACCC